GTCCAGCAGCCTTCGGTCCAGCAGCCTTCGGTCCAACAGCCTTGGGTCCAGCAGCCTTGGGTCCAGCAGCCTTCGGTCCAGCAGCCTTCGGTGGCGGGTGAGCGGGCCGAACCGGCCTCTTTGGCATTGGCTTCGTCACCACGTTCTTCGCCTTCGGCACACGTGGCTGTGGCCTCGACTTGCTCTTCGCCCTTGCCCCAGGCTTCTCCACCGTCCCAGTCTCCTTCTTCGCGGCCTTCTGCAGTCGCCCCTCCGGACGAAACCAGATGTCCTGCACGTTCCTCTTGGCCCCCCTCTTGTCCGCCTCCTCGACATCCGAGGGGTTCCAGGAGACCTCCTCCTCCTCGAGCTCTTCGTCGAGCCCCTGCACAGCAAATGTACTATATAACAAGTATTACAATAATATAATATATGTGTATATGTATATATATATATATATACAGATACATATATATATATATGTGTAAATATATATACATATATATATATATATATATATATATAGATTTACAGATACAGGTATATAGTAAGTTACACAATATATTCAGTCCAAGCTGCTGACGACCGGGAGCCACGAGGTCTCGAACCAGAAGCTGCAGAGCCCCGTCGAGGTGGAGTCACCTTTCGCCCGTTTCGGTAGCTCTTCTTTATTTCATAACTATATCAGATGTACATGTCTTCCTGCTGCCACAGCTGCTGGACGAGCTGCCGCATCCTTCTTCTCCGGGGTCATCGGGCCGGGAACGGCCTCGATCCCAACATGCTATATACACGTATTATACATATATGCCTAGATACATACACATATATGTATGTAAATATACATATATCAATTTGTAATGTGTGGTGTATATATATATATGTGTCTATTCAACATCTACATATATAGCTACTTGTATATACATATACGTATACACACATCTTGATCACTATTACAACCGCACTAACAAATATCAAATACTGTTGCTGCCAGAGTCACTGGAGCCATTTCATCATCACGAGGCTCATCAGGCGGTGGTGGCGGCTGCGGAAGCCCAGGAGGTGGCGGCTCCGAAGGTTCGGGCGGAGCTGCAGTTCTCGGCTCCTGTGCAGCCGTGTTTAGCCAAACTGATTTAAGTCATGCATCGCTATACCATATATACACTTCCAAACTTTGTGCAGGTACTGCCTCCGTCTTCGCAGGGATCGCTTCTGGCAGTCCGGAGGCTGTGACGTCACCCTCAGCCCGAGTCATTCTATGGACCTATTCTCTGTCCTCTTGTTGTATACTACAAAAGTAAAAAAACATGCATATGTACATGTAAATATGTATATATATATATATATATATATCTAGAGAGAGAGAGAGAGCTCTGTATATATATCTCAGAGTAAACTATATTGTTTGCGAAGCGGCAGCTGCAGGCTTCGGGGCATCCGTCGGCAGCTCCGGTGCGACCTTTGCGGCAGCTGCAGCCTTCGGCGTCGTCGCCAGGTCCGGTGCGACCTCTGTTCGCTCATCGTGTGTATAATATATATACACATACACACGAACACATCCGTATATGTGGTCCTCTTGCCGAAGAATCGCTAGCAACCATGACATTTATGATGCATATATCTATACGCACATATATATATATACACATTATATATTATATTAATATATCCTCATCTATTAATATATAGGGGTAGACAGATGTGCATAAATTAATTCGTGAATTAAGACTGCCTCCATAGTATCTTGACCAGGTGCATTGGCTGCCGCTGGCATCTCAGGAGCCGCAGGCGGTGCAGGTGCTGGTCCCGGGGCCTGCATAAATATAAAAGAGCTCAGCAAAAACATACTTGGTACTGTATTATAATAACAAAGAAAAGGCCAGCCGAGCTTATTATATTGCTGCCAGAGTTACTGCAGCATCTCCTTCAGATCCTAAACTCGCCCCAGCATGCACCGGAGGTGCTTGGGCTGCTCCTGCATCGACCTGGATATATATGTATATATATATATATATAGGAACATATTTATATATGTATATATATATATATATGGTGTGCTATGCTATGAGATACCGTAAAATCTATAGACATATAACAAAGGAAAATATATATATATATATATATATACATATGCATATATACACAAATTAGTTAACATATGTATTTGTTGTGTAGTGCTGCCACAGTTACGGCAGAAAGCCTTTCAGCTTCATGAGAAGCTTCAGGGGCGGCAGTCGTAGCAGGTCTATCCTCCGATTGATTCAAGATAAGTCCCAGCATATGAATTCGAATAGATATTAACAAAAACCAAGAATGACTGCTGCCGCCACAGCTACGGCAGCAGCTGGCTCCGGCTGATCTTCGCCAGACCAGACCCCACGCTGAGAACCGAGGTTCCCGGAACCAGCCTGGTGCCAATGTATATAAATACATATATATATATATATGTACATATATCTAAATACATAAACAAAAAATGATATATACATATATATATATATATATATGTTCTAGGCAGCGAATATCAACTGTAAACAGTTCTCTGCAAAACTTTACATGTATGTATCTTCATATATATATATATATATATATATTCATATATTAAGACAAGATAATGTATATATATATATATATATATATATGCTTATATATATATATATGTATATAAAAATTAAAAGGCTTTACTGTGCTGCCATGGGTACCGCCAAGTCGCCCGGTCGCACCACTGACCCAGGTGGCTCCAAAAACGGCGGAAGGTCCGCAGGCCATGGCAAAAACGGAAGCCCAGGGTACCTGTCGACACCGACGTGGTTGACCCCCCGGGCATTCGCCATCTCCACGTCCGGGATGAAGCACAGCACCCAGCGACCCCGCAGCAGGGTGACACCACCAGGTGCTCGCGGCTGCTCATCGCCAGCATTCGTGGGATCGGCCATGGCTCAGTGCTGCAAAATGCAGCTCTAGATCTAGAGCTATGCCTATAAATAAGGCTCATGATGCATGAGCTGATGTATGTAGATATCCTGGTATCGTATGTATATCATATATGTAGATATATATATATATATATATATATATACATGGTAGTAGTCGTATATATCCACTTAATTAGAGATCTCGACGGATCCGTCCCCTGCCGGCTTCAGCATGGAATCTGTATATAATAATATATATATATATATATATATATATATATATATATATTATATAGGTATACATAAGCTACACACACGTATAGTATATATCTCGCTAGTGTATGTGTATGTAGATTTATATACATATATATATATATATACATACGTATTCAACTATGTGACATAACATATATGTCTATTTATTTTTCCAGCTGCTCCGGCCACGGATCCGAAGGGAAGATCTCGACAAGCAGGGCTCAGACAAAAAGGGCAGGGTCTGTCTACAAGTCTCCGTATATATTGTTGTACATATTCTATCACCATGCCTGTGCACTAACAAATATATATATATATATATATATATATATACATATACAATCTAGGCAACCTATAGCTGTACACCCAGCGGTCTGAGCCCATGCTTGCACCTGCAGAAGCACGGCTGTTGTGTGCACACACATGTCCACCGATCTCAGCACGGAAACCTGCATTGTTCCTATGCCAAAGCCCAGACCAATGAAACTACATTAACATCTCCATGTATTCGATATATATATATATATATATATATATATACACAAAATATTTCCCCGACGACACATGTATATATTTCGACTTCCCTGAAATCCCTGAAACAAATTAGAACACTGAAAGCTCATCCCATGCACTGGTTCCGGCCTCGGCAAGGAAAGCCGCAGCTGGGCACCGACCATGAATTACGAATTATTGGGAGCTCAGGCTTTTGTCGCATGGCTATGCATGCAGTCTGTATGCACATGTGTTTGTTGCGAGTGCGAGACATCTGGGGATTTCTGGCCAGTTCCTAATTTGAAAAACATATTCCTTCAATAATCGTGACTGCACTATATATCTAGGATCATGGTCTTCCTAATTACATGTACATGTATGCCTGCATGCTCCTGGGCGTCGAAGCGGCGGGTGGTTGGAGAATTCCAAGCCTGCAAGGATTCGATATATATATATATATATATATATATAGAATCTATATATCTATCTATATATCTCTCTCTCTATATATATATATATATATACTACATATGTATATATGTAGAAAGATATGTATATATATATAAATATAAATAAATATATATAAATAAATAATATATATATATATATGTATATATATATATATATATATATATGTTTTCGTCGTTCATGATGCTTGGTGGCTTCTGTGTCGGACAAATCTATATATATATATATACATATATATACACATTATATACATATTATATACATGTATATATAGACATTGACCTGAAACACATAGAAAAACACGTGCAAGAATCTATTATAAATCAATGTTTTCTCAATTCAGCCAACGTGTCGGAATTTAATATTTTTACTCATAGAAAAGCACGTGCAAGAATCTATAATTCAATGTTTTCTCAATTCAACCAACGCGTCGGAATTTAATATTTCTCTTCAAAAAAATCATTAAAGTCAAGCAAGCTCGCTATAAATGACATCTTATCAAGCATGTGTAATTAGTGGAAAGCATGCCATGGGCTAAAGTATATAAAATACTAGGACATCATATGTGACACACATGCTCCGTCCGGAACCACAAAAAACAAGGCCTTGCGTTGTTATGCTACCCAAACCAGCACTATGAACACATTTGAGGTCTTCGGATGCTTAGGGAGGGTATAGTTTATAGCGACGGACAGACAGATTGACAGACAAACAAATAGACAGACAGGTAGACAAACGGACAGATAGATAGATAGCTGGCTGGTTGGCTGGTGGCTAGCTGCTGGATAGTTACCTAGCTAGGTGAGTAAGTAGGGGGAGGGAGCGAGCAGAGAGAATGAGAGAGAAAGAGACAGAGTATGTCAGGGCGCGGTCAGGCTACCTTTCACTCTCTTACTCCCTTCCCGGTGCTGGCATGGGGCAGTAGAAGAGCATGAGAAGCAGCACCAGAGTCCACATCTCGGAGGGACAGGAGAAATCAGCTGGAAAAGAGGGTGGGGCGTCCAAACTAACCGCAAACTTAGGCCAGATGCACATTTCGCATTGGAATTCACAACAACCTTGATAACCGTTTGGATTCTCTCAGAAGCCTTAAATCCGCGCTTCGAAGGCGAGGTGGATCAACCAAGGCTCTCCCTGAACTGTCGATGCCGTTCCTGATGCAAAGTGCAAGACTCTAAGCTATCAATCGCCCAGGCACCAGCGAGCCCATGGTGCTAACAATCGAGAAGATGATTGTCCGCAGAGACCCGATGTACTTCAGCAGCTTCACCACCTGTTGCTTGTTCTTAAAGTTCTGCGGCTAGCAAAGTCATCGGGGTCTTACATGCCAAGTGCAGACAACCACAGAATCTGTAGGTGTGAGTTTATGTCTCAAGCTACTTCCGATCAGAACAACCTGTTGCGTCAGTCTGATTGAGAGTATCGAGCTAACTGGTAATCCCGCAAGCAGCTTGTACGGCGGAATCCTGCATTGCCGCATCTGAAGCTAGGAAAAAGACACAACGCGTAGAAACACAAGCCACTGCCCAACAAACTTTAAGCAACACTTCAGGACTTGCGATTAAGTTGCACGTACGCCGCGTAGCGTCCTCGGAGACTGCGACTGCATCTCTTGCAGCCGGAGTTAAGCCTATACCATTTGTCTCATTGCAGTGGTTTGACCATATGCCTTCCTGCCAACCAACCCTTATCGGGACCTCAATGCATGAGGGAGTGCTGTCCGTGGAACCAACAACTCGCAAGTTATCCCTCCAGCGTCCCTCGCATGACCTTACGAACAAAGAACCTTGCTCACCCAGGCTCCGTGCTAGCCTTGCCAATCGCATGACTCGCAGTTGGTTGGCGTCCATCTGAGCGAAGAGGATGGAGCTGAGAAGCTCTACAACCTGAAAGCTCGAGCAGTGAAGATCTGTATGCCTTTGATGCTACAAGGTCCTTGCCGGCCTGTTGCTAAATCGCTCCCCAGCGTGATACCTCCACTGCCGCAACGTCCAGCTTCTGCTGCACCACGTGCTCTATTCGGTGGAGAGCGTCTGCTTCAGAACAGGCATGAAAGAATTGCATTCTACGTGAGGTCCCTGAGCCCAAAGCTCCAATACAGCACCTACAAAGGCCTTGGTTCGGAATCCTAAAAGTGCTGTAAGTTCAGGCAAGGGGCCACCTCGAACAAAGACAAGACAACAATGATCATATCAAACCAGTTCCACATCTTCTCGATGCCCATGAAATATCCTTGGGCATGTGTGAGCCAGGTCGGATGCCCATCAGAGTATTCATACATCTGCGCATGCATGATCATGTTTGTATAGTTCTGTACGTGTATATACATATATATATATATATATATATATATACATACATTGTACGAAAACACATATACAGACACACAGATGTATGTCTGTAAGTCTATATCGTCTGTATCCGTGTTTGAATATGTGTATCGACAGATATGCGTGCCTGCATACGCATGACAGCTCTCATAGTCTGACCGGCATTTTCAAACCGGAGGCGACATGTCTACAGATGCTGCTGTCTAGAGTTTATAGACAAGCACCACAGGAGTTCATATACCAGACGGTGTAGCAGCAATTGCGTCCAAAACACCGAAGCCTTAATGCTGTGTCACTACGTGTCTCGACACCGTCTTAGCAGCAGCCATCATTAAAACGTCTGTCCACGATTGGACCATGAGTCCTCTGCAGCCAAAGGCAACCAACTTGAGCACCACTTCAGCCGTAAATACAGCAACGATCACAAGGTTGATCTCCGCGAAGAAAGGCGGCGACTGATCACGGAGACGGAGCTAGTATGAGCTGGTAAATGTCAGTGGGTTGAAGTCAGAGGACCTAGCCCCAGCACAGCACATGCAGGGTCTTAAATTCTGTATCCAGGCTCGCGGATAGCTGATCTTATTTTCTACATCCTAAAACGGGCAACCAAAACAACCGTAGAGTCAGGGAATGCATCTGGTAACTCACGACTGTCGCAGTGGTCCTGTCACCTTCCCAATTTGGCATACACTTTCTGGATTCTAGTTGGCCAACACTCTTGCGACGCAGCTGGAGCATGAAAGTTCTTCAAGGGCTTCACCGAACAGACATGCCGGACATGCTGTGGTCTTTTCAGTCACAACCGTGCCCCAAGAGCAGTTCACGACAGAAAAACGGAACCCTGGTACGCAAGACGAAACTCAAATAGCAGGTACAAGCATCGTCCGTGCAAAGGGACGTTGCTCCAGCCAGTCCTTAACCCTAAACCTCGAACGCCTAAGCTGCTTAAGGTACTCCGACCGAAATCCTTAAAGAAACTTCAAAGGAACCCATACTGTCCCTCCGCCAAAAGACCTCCGCAGTACAGAATCGGATCTGTTGTGCAGCAGGGCGCGCATCTGTCTATGATTTTGCTTCTATACAAGAATTCTGTGCAAGGATCTGGACTGTCAGGTAAAATGGTACTAAAGTAACAATATAAGAGCATTATGATAGCAACTTCATAGTGACGTAGTGACCTTACAATTGCAGTCATAATGCATCGGCTTTGGGACTCGGGTTTGACAGGTCCTGGAGCTGACGTCCACGCTCCGTTCTTCTAACCTCAATGGATACGGATAGTTGTCAAAACTATGGTCCCTTTTGGGTACCTAAATATTAGGTGTCGTACAATATTAGGGGCCGAAAAAGGGACCATAATTTTGATAACCACCCATGCGCGTGTTCACACCGACAAGCACCGACAAGCCTAAAATGGGCCCTGTAGGTTTTCTTGAGCGTGGCCTCTCCCGGTGGCAAAGATGCTGACAGGTCGATCTCAAGACCTTCGTGGAAGTCCCACTTTCTCCAGAGGTCCATGCGTTGCTACCCCGCTACTCATGGGGATGCAATAGACAGAACTAAGTCTCAGGATCGGACATGAGTCGTATAGCACAGGGTGCAATGGGGAATCCGTGGAAACACCGAACTACTGCATCTGACTGCATCGTTCTCTTTGTCCTGAAACTAACGAAATCACCCTGCAGCGGCTCCCTCGGCCAAGGTGCCAAGCATGACAAGGTTCAGCAGGATCAGAACGAAAACACCTCATTGACCAGTCCGGATACGCGCAATGCCAAGCCAGCAGCAACGAGAGACATCGCATCGAGCGAAACACGACATGCTTGCTGGCAAGCGAAAGCCTGGGCAGCATCTAGAATAATACGCACTTCTTGCAGCCTGTCACTGCTCCCCAGAGACTGGAAAGAACCTAAAGCTCGAAGCCTCAACCTCAACCCCACATGGTCACTCTTCCGGCGACTACAGTCTCCAGGATTTATAGAGAATACCATCTACAAGAAACTATACCAGAGCTTCGGGCTCCCCCTTCCCTCCCAGAAAGACCCCCATAAAGGTCCCCCTTAGCTTTCCATCCCGGGCAGCTGTAGTTGAAGACGTTGGAGTTCACGCAGGTGTTCAGGCTCTTGCGGGCTTTGGTGATCGAGGATGAGCTCCTCCGCTGCGCAAGGGCGAGAGGGCCGAAGCCTACTATAGGGTTTTTTAAAGTGTACTGGCTAGGTCTCCCTAGTCTGTCTGTAGGGTTTTATTTTAAAGTGTAATGCACCGCTCCTTTGACTCCAGAAGGCTGTCGGTACTGCTCGGATTGAGCTTACACGCCTATAGAGTTTAGGGTTTAGGGGTTGTAGGGCTTATAGGGAGAATAGGGCGCAGGTGTACATTCTAGTACAAGGGATGATGTTACCATTATAGGGGCCTGTCGTTTCAATAGCGTGTGGGGTGATTATGTGATACGATACGGGGGTATTATATTTTCTGCTTATTCCAACCCCCAGCCCCTGTTGTACTGTAACACCTACATAGGCCTACGGAGCAAAACAGAGAGCCACAAAAGTGAGAATGCGTGAGTGAGCGAGCTAGCAAGTGAGAGAATGACTGACTGAATGAACGAAGGTACGAATGAGTGTGCGAGTGAACGAACTACTGAACAAAGGAAACAGTTAATGAATGAAGAAACGACGCAAGCAACATGATGAACTAAACGTGCGATGACTGAACCAGAAAATGCGAACATGCAAACATGAATAGTTAGATAAATATTTCATATACAGACTCACATAATACATGGTTGCATGGTTGCGTGGTAACAGGTAATTATTTAGGATAGATCCCCTAATTATAGACCCCTTTGAAGGAACCCCTATTTTGAAGGACCCCCCCCCAAAAAAAAAGTAGTGATAATTATTAGGTAAGATTCAAACAGACATACGTATAAACGTACATGCTTACAAGCATGCTCGCGTGCATACATACATACCTACCTACATACATATGCACACTACATGACATTACATTGCATTGCCCTGCATTGCATACACACATAACACACATACACAAATACCTACACACATACACATATACAGTAAAACCCTCATGCGTACAAGAGTACATACTGCAGCCGTCCATCCCGCTCCCGCCATCCATGCACGCACACATACGATCATAGATTCATGCATTACATACATGAGATACTTTGCATGCATAACATGCATCAGATGCGTTACATACAGTACATACGTTACATACCGTTCAAACATGGCGCACAGCATACATGACATACGCACCATAGGCTGGGTAACATTGTACCATGTCTAGCACACACTACGTAAATAATTTGCACAACCTATAAGCCTACGTAACATACAGGACATGCATACATACATACGTACATACATAGTTTATGCATACTACATACGCGTGCAGCGTGCATACGTACGGACAGACAAACGACAACTGAAAGGCAGATACCCGTCACAAATACGTGTATAAATGCAAACAGACACCGATCCACAGACTGTCAAGGCAAACGTAGCCAAACCTTGAAGTCGCCGGCTCATAAACTGAGAATATGGCCCAGTGGCTCGAAGCTAAGAGATCGCATCTCAAACCTGCCACCTGCAAGGCGTTCAAGGTTTCGGCCGCTGGATCGCGCAGAATCCCCAGAACCCAACATGGGAGCTTCCGAAAATAGGGGATGCCAATATAGTACCCTAAATCGTAGGATCCTTATTATAAGGGCCCCAAAATATCGTACCCCTAATTTTTAGAAACTCCCACATAGGGATTAGATACCGCAAGGCCATTATCGGCCATCATCCCTTGAATTCCCGAATCATCACGCAACCTGCCGAAAAGAGGCGATTTGCTTGGCTTGGCTGCGTATGGGACTTTATCGCGCCCCCAAACCCCAAACTAATCAGACTGATCCCGGAAGGAGAATCTCACGATGATTAAAACAAGTTAGCAGGTGCCACAATCTATATGTGCATATGTATATATATATATATATATATATATATATATATATAATAGCTACATATATATATATATATAATGTTTATGGGGTTCTGTTGTCAAGCTTCAATCTGCACGGGCCATAAGGACTCAACGCACTCTCGGCTTGTTCTGGATGGGCATGTGTCGAGTCGGGCTTTGGATGATGCATACCATGTTGCAGCTGATCTTTGCAGACTACGACGGTCGTACTGATTCTGGCGTCCGACGGAACGACTTCCACACTCCGCCAAAGTTGTGATACCTGCAGTGGAAGCACTTTCAACATAGATACCAATAGCAGCAAATTGAAACTGAATGATTCCTGCTCGACTAGTTCTCACAGGCCGACCCGACCTCAGCATCGAACCGGCAAGGACAGAACAAGGCACACAAACCAGCTTGGCAAAGTCTAGTCCAGGAGACAAGCACCCGAATTGCTAAGCCTTGAATTGGGCCGAAGGCTAACAGACTGGAGCCTCCTGTTCGCGACATGGCCGACTTGGCGTTCTGGCGGTGTCCCTGGAAGCTTTCCCGCATGAGCTCATCCTGAGAGATCCGGCTGCGGGACATACGGCCTTTCACCCTTTGCATGACTGACTGACTCTCGCGGACGATGGTCCCGACGGAGCTTTCAGGTCCACTTCAACTATGGCTTGCAAACCGCAAAACGACATAACCAACCCAAGAAACGAAGCACAACTCTGAGAAGGAAAACAAGCAACCAGTCTCCTCCTTGCCTTGCAGCCATGCGGCCCAATGCTTCGGGTGATCCTCCTCCGAATGTCGCGACTGCACCTTTTTCCCAACACAAGGGGCTTCACCGTTCCACTGGGAGCAATCATCCAGATCGAGGACTTTTCTTTCGCGCCATGTTGAAAAACCACTATCCAACAACTACGTCTTTCCACAAATGGCATCTGCAGAGCACCACGAGGCATGAAGAGGAATTATGAGGAATGTGATCAAGAAGATGATCTGGTCTGAGCCCCGAGGCTCCTGGGGAGTGCGAACTGCTTTGAGGATTCAGCAAGAGAGCCTTTCGATGAAGTTTTTCTCGATGTCCAGGAGTCTTCTTTCGATGTGCGGGCGTGCAGCCCTCACCACAGCAACACTGACAACAATAAGAGAACGATCATCAGTTCATCATCATTATGATCATCATGACCCTCATCATCACCATCAACATTCATGAATATCGGCAAGTGTGGCGCCAAGCATGACAATTCGAGGCTCCCGTTCTCGGCGTTACGTCGGAGACCCCCGTGGACGACATTGCAGGGCGAGAGTCGGAGGAGCGCGCCCCGCTCTTCCTCGGGTTTTCCACCTCCTCGCAAGCCGGGGCAAAAGATTTGTGGGGTTCGGCCTTCAAACGGGTTTAGGGCTCCGGTTTCGGGTTAGAGCTTGGAGTTTCGGGTGAAGGACGAAGGGCACGGGTCGGGCACGGGGGCTCGAAGTATGTTCGGGAAGCCTTGGAACTAAAAGTCTCCTTCCTTTCATGATAACGACCCAGGCGCACGGTTTGGGGAAATTGACATCAGCTTTGGAGAGAAAGAAACTTCTACAGAGGCTTTCGAGGTTACAGGCTTTGGGATCTCGAACCGTCGCTCGCAGGGGCGCCGTGGTCTGCAGCTGAACATGCTTGTGATGATGATGATGATGACTATATGATATATGTGCTCGAATTTGCCGTACAGGCAATCCAAACACATCCTCTCTGCAAAACGTAAAAAGCCCAAACAGCCCGAAAGCATCGACGGTGAGGTCCGCCTCTGCAACCTCCCACACCTTGCTGTTCTCCGAAGTGGGGCTGAGGCCTGGATCCTCAAAGGAGGCATTGACAGCAGCTTGTTTCAAGTTTGTGCTTCAGGTATATGTACCTGAGCTCCTGACAGGCCTATCAGCTACAGGGACTTTGAATCTGCTTCATAACGTATGGGTCAAGTTGTTGAGCATGGAAATGCATGAGAGATGTAAGGGAGGAGAATTCGCCGGACGAGCAGACCAGCTCACATAACTCAATCGACTGATTTTGTTGTTAGCATGACAGTGAAGTAGCGCTGTTGCCACTGCCATGGCTACCTTAGGCAACTTTGGCACTAGACTTCAGCGGGTCTCACAATGGCCGTAACATTTTATGCCATGACTGCGCGATCAGCTTCTGTTTCACTCGCTTGCTGCGGTGGCGATACTACTGTTGCTCCTTCTGAGAACTGCTGCGCGTCAGTCAATGTCAGTCATTGCCTTACTCTGTCCTAAGCAAGCATGGTTTTGAGACCAACGCCGATGGACTCTTATGGCTCCTATTACGGGTGCGAGTCCATGCAGTAAGAGCATTTCATGTGATTACGGCGGCTACTTCGATGACAAAGTCTGCTGCATGGCATTGCTTTTCGTGCCTTGCTGATTGCCGGTTATCTGATAGCGAGGTCGAGGTGCTGCAGGTGGTGCATAAGCGGGAGATGGTGCCGACGGCTTCTCAGAGAGGCTGTCCGTCTCCTTTTCCCAGCAAGGCCCTCAACACTCATGGTTCGGGCTGTCGGGCTTTGGTTTTTACTGGACATCTGCAAGACACGTGCAAAAGATCACAAGGCTCGCTTGCACGCTGAAGGAAAAAGTTCACTGTAGCTTGGGCTTGTGTTCCAGCTAGAAGACGACAAGTTCAAAGAAGGGCAAACATGATCGCTCCTTCTTATAAAGCTCGTCACTTCCGTTCTTCAAGCAACCCTTTGAGAAAGAAGGAGACAAAAAGGGGAAAGGAATCTTGGTTTCTTGGATGGCCCAGCTGCCACAAAGGGGCTGCGAGGTTACTAGCGATACTCGTCACTGAATATCCGCAATGACTACCGCAACATGTTCGCCTCGCCAAACCGAACCGAGGCTAGGGCCAGGGACTTAGGGATGAAATAGTAGTAATAATATAATAACAATGACAATAATAACAAAACTTAATAATAACATTAATAATAAGATAATAATGACAATAACAAGAATAATAACAATAATACTAATAATATAATACTAATAACAATAATAACAATACTGTCTGACCTCGATCTCAGGAGCACTCTCCAAGATGCCGCGTCCCGATGCATCCTTGCGATACCCATACCCCGCGTGCATAGGTGATCTTGAACTCTTCCTAATCGCAGGCTTTGGCTCAACACCCTAAACTTCAGGGTAAAACCCAAAAACCTCAAAGCCTAAACTTTCAAACCGTAAAAACCCTAAACAGCAGCATCATTTCCCAAGCCCGGTGTCCGAGTTCAGCAGCTGTGGTCGAGGCCGAGCCCCGGCTGCTCCGGGCTTCTCCAGCTGCGGACTCGTCTGCGGACCCATTTTTGCGCTCCTCAGTGGGGTCCTTATAATAAGGACCCTACAATTTAGGGTATTATATTAGGGTCCCCTATTTTTGCTGTCAGACGAAGCCGCAGCAAGAGGAAGAGGAGGAGCAGGTCCGGGAGGATGAAGAAACAGTGTTGTACAAAATCAGGCCAAAGCCGAACGAGCACGTCATACTTCACAGACTTCTGTTGCTGGCACATCCTGTCTTGGACCAGGGCACGCCGGTTGGCTCCAAGCCACTTTCGCCGCCATCTGCAGTCCTAGCTCATTCGACATTCTTCACTTTCAGGAAAGTATGACTCCAAGTGGAGTTTGAAATTAGGCACTCAAGCACAAGTTCATGTGGTATGTAATTATCGTTAATCTACGCTGATCCTTGTGTATGCACGTAACGAGATAGAGTATGGCAGAAAGAGTCGAGTGCTCTGTATGAGCGGTTCGCACGATCGTCAATGAGTAGATTGTCTTGTAATCTGTAACTTTGGTCAGGTTAGATAGGCCAATCTCTCTCCTGTAAATGGTGCACTGCTTTCTGCACCACGGAATCGTTGTCTGATTTGCACAGTGCCTGCAGGTGTTGCGGTGCATGTGGCTCTGAGAAGACTGCATGGCTTGCTGCGACTTTCTGCAAAAGGTATGCTGTGATGGCATAATGTTTCTTGCCATATCTGGGATGATGCCAGATACTGAGCTCAAGCAACATCCACGCCATCAACGAGCAAAGAGCGAGTTACAACCCCTTGGCCGAAGCGGTTTGCAGTCTTGAGGTATCGCAAGGGCCTTGACCGGGAGCTTATCGATCTATCCATCCATCCATTGATCGATTCATTTGTATGTACATATATATTTATATACACACATATGTGTAAATATATAAATATAGATATAGATTTATATATAGATAAAGATATACCGATATATATATATATATATATATATGTATATGTATGTGTGTATATATATATATATATAGATGTATATGTATGTAGGTATGTATGTATGTATATGTATATACAGATACAGATAAAGATGTAGATATAGATACAAATCTCAATGCAGATATGTATACGGTCCATCATTACCACCTCAGGCCCGTTGCAAGTCCGAGCAGAGGTCCTTCCACTTGGTTCGTGAGGGTCCGAAGCATCCTGGGTCCAGTGTTTGTAAGAAGTTAAGGTTTACGGTGCCCTACACTACCAAGGGTGCTTTATAGAAACCCCCATTAAGGGATCTTCTTTTTGGATCCTCCCAGGGTTAGGGTCTGTAGGAGGTGATGGGTGATGGGAGCCCCCGTCTGATGGTTGGTCCTTTCCGGTGTACTCCTATCGCCGCTTCTGTAAACCCCGTATAACACGAGTAAGTAAAGATTGCGAAAGGAACATTGCTGACCCCTCTACATTGCGGAAGTCGATGGGAGGTCAGCGGGCGAGACTTCAATCTATAGGCAGGAGAAGTGGCTCAGCGAAGCGAGCATGCAACACGCAACGTTGATTGTCGTTGTTAGTCGTAGCAGGTATATGCAAGAGGTAGCAGCCTTGGAGTCTAAGCGCTTTCTTCTCTACGGGCCCCTGGCCCCGAGTGTTGCGGCTCGGACCTAAACATGCATGTCTCTGTCACTTCCGAAGGCACACCGGCACCGTCTTTGAACAACTCGAAGCTGGAGTTGAACTTCAGAAAGGTATGAAGTCCCAGCATCGCTCAATTAAACCCAAGCCGCCGGCGCAAATCTCAGACCCAACTCGGTGAAGCTGCGGCAACAGCAGGGGGTGGGGAGGGTCTGCTTGTTGTGGTCACCAAAATCACTAACTTCTTTCGTGTATACTGTGGCATTACTTCTCGTTTCCGTTTACAGGGCATTCGAGGCGCGCGCGTGTGTGAAGTGGTTTTGCTGTAGTATCAATCCACAGCCCTGTATCCGTGTCCATCTGCAGCAGGGCGGCTGCGACTGCTCTTCAAATTTGCTCTCCAAGAACTGACCTTTAGAAAGTCAGGCTTCAGGTCTCAGACAAAAGGTGCGACATACAAGAGCAATGCAGTGTGACAGAGTCAAAATCCCCAATCTCGAGGATGACGACAACGAAAGAGCGACGACCTCTTGCAGCACCACCGCCGTTGCTTACTGCCGCTCGTTGTGCTACTGCTACTGCTGCTGCAGCCATTGCTGCTACTAGTACCACATGACTCGACGTGCCCGAACCGATCCGGAGTAGCTCAGAACATCCTCAAACTTTACTTGATTTTAGCACGGATCAAAGTGAAGGCTGGAGAGCTGTTGGCAAGGGCTCTCTAGTCAATCGCTCCCGACTAAGACTAGGCAGAAGAAGCATCGTCGTGAAGGCAGGCTCAGAAGAGGATTTTGGGGCTCATTATACTATGACTATAATGAGGAACCCTCAAAATAGTAGGCCCACTATACTATATCTATAATAAGGAGCCCTCAAGCACTAGTATTGGTAATTATTGACCACTAATTGCCAGAGCCATGCGACGGAATGGCTCCGGGTCCATCGACTCCATGGTGGCAAGCAATAGGTGGCCCCGCCCACGCCAGAAATTGTTAAACACAAAAATCGCTTAAGGAACCATCTGAGGAAGACTGAAACTAAACGTCTGGAGTTCAAGTTGTCGAGCTGTCAAGTCCAGGATAGCAGAATCTTCAGTAGACGGTTCACCTCGACGGCTGCCGCTATCTGCAAGCAACACCAGACACAGCCTAGCAGCACTGCTTGGGCCTGGCAGTACAGAATGCACAGTGTATGTAAACATGTATGTGCACGTGCATATGCCTAGATAGACTGTAAAGACATCTTCAGCAAGTACTTGTCTTCCGAATGTTCGACACTGTGGCGCACATCGGCTGAACCGAACAAAACGGATTTAGGTGCCGGGGGCAGTCTCTCCCTGAGGCCTGGGGTTTGGGGCTCCAGGCAGTTACTTAGGGCATTGAAAACAGGTGTTGGCCTCGAAGGTTCTGCGTTGGTGGGACTCTGAGGGCGACCTTGCCGTTTGAGGATGGCTTGGGCCTTGGATCCTTCTGAAATTATCCCGAGGTGGGGATGAAGAGCCAGGGAGGGCTTTTTGTCGGCGAATTTGCGCATTTTGAACCTGTGCTTCCACATTCCACAGCTGGCACCGAGAATTGGCAGTGCCTGAGTCGGGCGACTCAGGCGTACCATCAGCTCCTGCCTCAACCTAATCATCATATAGGCTAAAGCAGGAGTGAACCCAGAGACAATCTCCCGGAGCTCCCAAACGTTGAAGAAAATGTCGGCCACGTTAGCCACCTCTAGGTGACCCAGATCCTGCCTGCTGATGTTGCTCAAGCAGTCATCACAGCTGCGCTGCCGCCGCCTAGACGAAATGCTCTCCCATACTGAGCTTAATGATGAGTGACTCAGTCGACTGGGGTTTACTTGCAAGCTTGGCACGGTTGCTATGATGAAACTCTGGTTGGGAGTCTGCGAGCGAGGCAGCTGAGTCCTCAAAGTCACGGCAAACACCCAACTGTATCCTGCACTTCCCAACTGCTGCAGCGCAGCAGCAGATGCAATATTGCTGCAGCCTGCCTTGCTCTGTAGCCATTGACTCTTTGGCTGTCGCAGCAGCTTGAGTAAGGAAGACTGCACGCGATGGTCTAGCCTTCAGCGAGACATCAAGTTAAGGCTTTGCGGGTTGCGGCTCCGCAGTTGTGTTACGGCAACATTGCGATCGGAACTGCGGCTTGGCTCTTGCTGCTTGTGCTTTGTTGAATTGGCCAAAACTTTGCAGTCGGCTTCCTGGTCGCGGAGGGAAGCGTGGGCAATTGAGTCTTGCTTCCCGTATGTACCGTTTTGCTTGCTGTCTGTGGTTGTTGCCGCCTTGCTACCTTTACTGTTGTTGTGGTTTCATAATGACCTGGTCATTGATTCCACTGGCAGCTAGCGATGGCGGTGGTTGTGGTGGTGGTTGCGGTGGAGGAGGTGGAGGGCTGCTGGGGTGACGGTGCGCTGCTGGTGTGTTAGTGGTCGTGGTAGCGGCGGTGGTGATGATCTGCGGTATATCAAACTCAAACAACTTAGCATATCAGAGAACAGGCAGCAATCAACAATCACGGGATGACAGCACTGGCTGGCACACCACCAGACCACCATAATCAAGACATCAAAGAATGACAGAGAGCAGCAATCGAACCCGAGAACCCAGTTGAACCAGTTGAACAGAAACCCCACACTCACCACCGGCCGGGGGACTTCGAAGCATCCGAAGACGTGAGAAGACCTCTCTCCTCGCCGTAAGTTGCGGAATGTGGCCCACGAGGGCTTGATGTCCGGAAGCAGTTGGGGCATGTCCGTTTCGTATGCGTATGTGAAAACATAGGCATACAGACGTATATAATATATATATATATATATATATATACCTGCTAGTATTCTCTCTTTCCCTTTCTGTGCATCTGTCTAACTATCCATCTATCTACCTAGCTATTTATCAATTTCTCTGTCTGTTTGTCTGTCTCCGTCTATATAAACTTACGCGTATGTGTACACATATATATATATATATATATACACATGTATAAACATGCATGCATGTAATGTATGTAAACATGTATATGATATGCCAATGTCGCATATGCGTATGCATGTGCGCGTGTGCGTGAATGCTTCAGGGATCAGGGTGTAGGTGTTGAAGGGGGGATGAATTCTCCAGGATCCGGTGGGCTTCAGGTTCAGGGACCCGACACGCAGAAGTACAAGTCCCCAGAACTCAAACGTCGCACATGCAACATCAGCTTCAGGGTTTGACAGGGGTGGAAATTGCCTTGGCTTGCACATGAAACCTTTGCAATGCACTGCAACAAACAATATCCTAAGCAACATCACCTTCTGATCATCGCTGAACTCTATAGTTGACTCTAAAGGTCCTTCAGCTCAGCAACTTCATCCAGCTGCTCCTCTGAAGGGACAAGCTTCAGAAGTACAAGCGCGGGGGAGGAACCGGTAAAGATGATATGTGACCTGATTTGTTGGGCATGTGTCAAGCGCTATTATGAGGACATCTGCTTGAACCATACGCAGTGCTGCACCAGAAAGCTCACCAGGTCCGAGTGGATGTTTTCTCCAAAAACGGAGTTGTGGTCTGAAAGGGAACCTACAGTCTCTGCTTAGTTCACTGTGAATCCTCGCCAAGATCCTATGGCGCACAACACATTCCCCAAGTCCTGCAGCAGCTTCCTTGCCAGCATCTCCGTCCTTCTTGAAGCCAGAATTTGGGCTTACGGGTCCACGCAGGTCAGTAGCACAGCAGATTCAGGATCTCCGGTAAGCTTGCATAGCATCTCCAGGCGGAAACCTGCAGAACCCAGAATGCATAATCTCTGCTGGTGCTGACCTCAAAGGACCTGGCCACAATCCAAACTATCCAGAAAACCCATCAAGTCGGAAGCGCACCCGGAAACCTCGAACCCCACAGTACAACGGTCCAGCTTCCCTGCCGCCCAATGTGAAAGTGGGAGGATCCAAACCCAAAGCCAGAACAACGTCGCTGCAGCCACCGGACAACTAGGCTCTTGCATCGCTTCATTTCCAACATGTCCCCCGGACCTTCTAGCAGCGGTACAGATTCTATGGTCGGTCAGCTGCGCCTAGAGCTGGTTACCTCAACTATCTCGCTAAATGTGAATGACCGGTCTTCCCGGCCTGGCCAATGTCACTAAATCGCTTGGAAGTCCCTGGAGAATTCGCGTCGCCTCAACCAGGACTTGCTCCACTTCGGCTGTTGAGTATATGTAACATCGCTGCAGCCCTGCTGACGCGCGCCACGTCCCGTTCTCTAGACGGTGCAACGAAAACCGCATGTCCCTCGCCAAGCCTAACAGCAAAACTTGTCCTGACTCCCAAACCCACGAACCGCAGTACCTGAGGGGATTCCCAACTGCCTCTAGAGCTTCGGCAGTGCTTTCGGCAGCCACCAGGTCTTGGACCTTGCGAAAACTGGGGAGTGCATGAAACTTGCGGCTGAGTCATAGTCTCAAAAGCCGCTTAGATGGGTTGTCTGAGGACAACAGAAGTATAGTGTATAGCAGAGAAAGAGCCACACACAAAGAGCTGTGACCTTTAGAATGCATGGCTCAAATCTCTCGTAGCTACAGCTTCTCTGCCTGCAATCCCCCATTGTTTAAGCTTAGAGTTTTGGAATTCAGGCTTTGCGGCCTGAGCTGGGACTTGAAGCAGATAAAACATGTAACTCTTTGTGCTTGTGCGTCTTAACTTCAGGTAGTGCTACTAGACCATGTTATACAACACTTGAGCAACAAGACAGCCCTGCTACTGTCATCATCATCGGCGTGGCAATCATCCTACATCCGAATTGCGGCACAGGTTTCAGTAGTCAGTAGTCTCTGTTACTCGTCTTCATGAGATTGTCCTGTTGCATCTAGAAGCTGTGAGTCTTGCTTGTACTCGCAGCAACATTGCCAGATAAGATGCCTCCACGCTGTCGTTGTGGAAGAATCCTGAACGGGTGGCACGGGAAGGGTCCTCCGTGCACGACCCTCCCACCCCAACACAAGCAAATCCAACTTGACGTCTCCAATGTCCAATGCCTCCCCTATGCCCGGGTATGGAACCTCTGGACCACGCAACACACGTGAGCCGCTTCCAATCTGAACTACTGTAGGCGCAAGCTTTTCCAAATCGTCACTGCGCCATTGCCTAATAGAGGGGACGTGATCATTGGAATAGCGTTTCGGGAATATTACACTTGTTACACCGAAGTTAAACAGGGACCACACAAGAAACTCGGCCAATAAACGACGAATAAAAACAAAGAAATCCCAAATCTATACGTAGCCAAAATCACACCTACTTCAAGTTGCGGCGCCACCACCACCAGCACCTTCACCAAATCTTTATTTCCTCAAAGAGCCCAAACTTCATCAACGAGGGCTAAGCAGAAGTTGCAAGCCATGCAGCGGGGCAGATCCTCCCTCGCTTGGCGATGTGCTTCCAGGAAGGAGAGCACCTGACTCCGAAAGCCCGTCTGCAAGGGATCGTAAACAGATTCGCTTGCACAGTTAGTTCATGATCAGAACCATAAGTAGCCGTCGTCGACACAGAGGGCTGCTGATTAGCTTCGAAGGCGTGGACTCGTTTCATAGTGCAAATGAGTTATGTTTCATCGAATGATGAGGCACAGGTCTGAAGCGGCACTACAGGGTCCCCTTGCCTACAGTCCCGACGCTGCAAAGCTGTAGAAACGGAAAGCAGGTGTTTATGCGCTTCAGCGCTTGTCTGGCACAGCAGCAGGTCAACTCTGCTGGTCGAAAAGACCAATCACAGAAAAAAAAAAAAAAAAAACTATATACTCCCGGCTGAACTGAAGCCAGGCACGCAGTATGACTTCTGCATAGTCTCATCCATGCTGTACTCCCCGGCCAAGCGAGCAAGCTGATTCTTGGGCGCCCTTGGCTGTCTCTCTCTCTCTCTCTCGCTCTCTTTCTGCTTCTTCCGTGGGTCGAGGCGGAGTTCTGACTTGATGGCATCTGGAAGCGAGTCTGACTTTTCTTCCTGTGGGAAGAATCGTGAGTCTTTATGTATGGCGGCCTGAACACGCGGACAGACTTAGCCTGAACACGAAAGCAGGCGCGAAGACACTTTCCTTGAGCTAAGGCCACTTCCTCAGCAGGCTAAGGGGATGCCTTTCAGCTCGTCCCCCGGATCGAACCTTTCGGTACCGAACAGAACTCTTAGAGGGAGAGGCCCTCAGGCGCCTTGATGGCTGCCGTTTAAAGAAAGCTAGCCGAGCCGGCTAGATATAACCAACAGTTCCTGCCCCTGGTGACGGATTCCGCGTCACTCGGAATCCTTCGGCATCGCCGAAGGTCTTCTCTCAGTTTCCCGACGCTTCTGTACAATCTCTTTCGCAGCGGAATACAACGCTAGGCCCAAGCCTGCGGATAACTGTACTGCCACCGTCACAAGCGACATGCCAATTCCAAGCCATGAGTACCTCGCTTGTGCGGCTTGAAGCGGCGTGAGGCAGAAATGTCAAAACGGCACAAAAACCTGCAATATCGGTGCTCCTATGTATGTAGACTAGACATACACTGACAGTTCAACAAAGAGAAATGTCATAAATCGCCAGCGAAGAGCCAGGATCCCCCAAAATAGACCTCAGCACATAACACTTTCTCAGGATGGCAAGAAAACAAACAGGATTTCGCACAGAAGGGCCCTCAGAAAGGCTGAACTGCTGAGTGACCAAGTCGAGGATGCCAACAATGATCTCCGGGATGTCTTCCAAGACTCGGAGCCCCATGTTAAGGTTGACGCGAAAGTCGTTGACTTCCTGCACTTCTTTCTCTTTCCTGCAGGCTGCTCGCAATGATGAGGAGTGTTGGACCGGAAGCAAGCCATGCAGCCAAGACCCACACTGAGATTGGCAGCAAAGGATATAAGAATGCCATGACGAGAACAGCACGAGCGCCACCAGTGAACCCAACGAACATAGAGGTCACCAACAAGAAGCCAAGGAAGGTGAATAGAGCCGCGAGTCGGACCCTCAGTCGTTTGCCTTCCTGGCTTTGAAGACAGCGAGCGTAGAAGACTGCTGTCCATCCCACCGTGGTGCCGAACGACACTAAGGCGGAAACCCACAGGACATGGGAAAGCGCTTCACAGCCGACTGCTGCACAGCCTGGCAGTTCCGTCCGGTACAGGTCGTAGCCCTGGCAGTTGTCCAGTTGATCCAACACTGGACAGTTTGCGGTGCTCACCTGGCAAGGAGGCTATATGTCTGCAAGTTATGAACAACCAAATGCACTAAGAATCACACGTCTCACTCATGGCTTTCCTCTTCGGTATGGGCTCTCAGTCTCGATTTTATGTGACAGAAACTCTTGCGTCCCGGGCCTCTGCATCTGCTTCGCAAACAGTGTTCACACTAAGGGTGGCATCACAAAGCGGTCTTTGTAGGATGTCGGGGATGCTTGTTGGGCAGTCCGAGCTCCTCAAGGGCATCAGAATGCCCGAGCCACATGGTATGGACAATGCAATCAGGGTGGAGCGCTGATATGCTTCGATTGCATACAGCATCCTTGGCAAGATCGAAATTAAATTAAACTGATATCAGTGGAGACGTCAGCTTTCATCACTGCGTGTTTGCACCCCTTGCCCCCCCCCCCCCCCCGAAAATGGTCTTCAAACATGGGGCGTGCAGCTGTCCTTATTACCGCAATGAGCTGACAATCAGGGGGGAAAGCGGTTTGGATCCCGATCATGCCCTTGAGCCAAGAGGCGTTGACACCAAGTTGCCGGACTCCAGAAACATGGTCATTGCCAGAAAGCTGCGCGAGCTTCTCATCCATTGTCTTACGATGTCATATATTGTGGACAACTGTAAGGGGACAGAGATCTCGCCATTTGCATTCTGACCTTCCGACCCTGAGAGGATGGAGGAGTTATTGATCTCGCCCGCCGCACCCTGATCTTTTGACTGTGAGGGGGGAGAGGAGTTGATCCTGATGTCGCCCACTTCTTTCCGATCTGTCGACTGTGAGGTCTCGCTCGCTGCGTTCTGATTTTCCGACTGTGAGGGGAGAAAGCTCCGATCTTCCGACTGTGAGGGGGTCGGTGGGGCGTCCTCCTGAGAAACGCCGACCCTCTGAGCCAGCGCCTCTCTGTGTTGAGCGCGGCCTTGAGAGTCTTGAGCCTCTCCTGCCTCTGTCCACAACTTCATCATAAGGCCACCAACCGACAAAGCAACCAAGTAGCCGCCGAGAGTGGCCAACGACCAAGCTCCGACATTCACGAAGGCAAACTGAGTTGCTTCCAACTTTGATGGAGCCTCCGTGCGCGTAGAAGTGGTAATGGTGGTTGTGGTCGTCGTCGTCGTCCTAGTAAACGTGGAAATGGTGATCGTGGTCGTGGTCGTGGCCGTGGTGCGCATAGAAGTGGTGATCGTAGAAGTGGTGATCGTGGAAGTGGTGCTCGTTGTCGTGGTGGTCGTGGTGGTCGTGGTGATCAACCTGTATACCTTGGAGTCCACCTTGTTGGCCACTGCCAGGTGTTGGACGCCATCCAAGGAGAAGGCGGCCCAACCGACTGCTCCGTTTGTGGGGAAGCTTTGCAACTCAACGAAGGAGGTATTCGCATCATCCCATCGGTACACCTTGGAGTTTGCGTGGTTGTTGGCCACGGCAAGGTGTTGCACACCATCCACGAAGAAGGGAGGCCAACCTTTTGCTCCGTTCGTAGGGATGCTTTGCAAGTGAAGGAATGACGCACTCAAACCATCCCATCGGTACACCTCGGAGTCCACAAAGTAGTTGGCAACGACAAGGTGCTGCACGCCATCCAAGGTCAAGGCAGCCCAACCATGTGCTCCGATCGTGGGGATGCTCTGCAACTCAAGAAAGGAGGTAGTCGCATCATCCCATCGGTACACCTTGGAGTCCACATTGTAAGCGCCGTTGTAGAAATTGGCGACGACAAGGTGCTGCACGCCGTCCATGGAGAAGGCGGACCAACCAATTGCTCCGCTCGTGGGGATGCTTTGCAACTCGAGGAAGGACATACTCGCAGCATCCCATCGAAACACCTTGGAGCCTATCGCCGTTCCTGTGGTTGGCCACGGCAAGGTGTTGCACGCCGCCCACGGAGAAGGTGGACCAGCCAACTGCTCCGTTCGTGGGGATGCTTTGCAACTCAACAAAGGAGGTACTCGCATCATCCCATCGGTACACCTTGGAGTCTACATTGTAAGAAGTGTCGTTTCTGTGGTTGGCCACGGCAAGGTGTTGCACGCCGTCCATGGAGAAGGCGGCCCAACCATGTGCTCCGTTCGTGGGGATGCTTTGCAACTCAACAAAGGAGGTACTCGCATCATCCCATCGGTACACCTTGGAGTCCACATTGTAAGAAGCTGAGGCGGTGCTTTGGTAGTTGGCCACTGCAAGGTGCTCAACACCATTTAACGAGAAGGCCTCCCAACCACGTGCTCCGTTCGTGGGGATGCTTTGCAATTCCACGAATAATCTGCCACCAGTGCGGCCGTGGCACAACATGAAGGTGGCTAACGACAGCAGCATTCTGCTGGATCTCGAGCTGACAAACAAAATGCTCAGCGCCCGGAGGCCAACACTTCAGTGCCGTGACGATAACATGTTGCTACCATGAGGGTTGCATAGGGGCATCAATGATAAGAGAGCAGGATGCTGTTGGGACTGGGTACTATTGGTGTGCAAAAACGCAGGCCCCACAGCCTTACCTTCTGGCTGATGATTAATTAATGGGTGCCTCACAAACAAAAAGGACCGTGCAAGTGGTGCCGTTGACGGTTTCGAGCGCAGTTCGGGGTCCACGTGACAGGGATTCCCATCTCCCTGTGCAGCACAGCTTGCTTAACTGCCCGAGTCACATGTAATTTTGACATCAGCAATCGGCTCGCACCAAGCCTACCGGCATCGGACGAAATCTTACAAACCCGAAACCTAAACGCCCCAAGCTATACCCTAAACCCTACTAGGATCACCAGCCATGTGGCTCAAGGGCATCGTGGATGAATGCCCAATCCTTGAGCTGCAGTGGCTGTACAGGCGGCCTGCCTACTCCGCAGTGAGAAGGTTGAACAGGCTTCTTATCGGCAACGAACTCCGGATCGCTTCGGCAGTCTACTTCGAAGCTGTAGACATGGTAACCCTGTAATGTGGAAACGCTGAGATTTCCAGCATGCCACCTTCCATCCCGCATGTGTCATGACGAACATGACTACCATAGTTGTGCTGCTGCGCAACGTCAGGTTAGGCCCCTGTTCTCCTATCAGCATCAAGCACGCTCTTGAGCGCCTGGCATGCCCGGAATTAGCCAGCATTATGACAAGCTAGAGTGGCTATCGAAGCTGCTCCTCTGGCTGATGAATACGCTTTTATTCCTTCTAAGTTTGGCCCTCAGGTCCCTCATGGTTCAACCGGCTTTCTGTTGCTTGCCAAGCTGCCTTCAGAATCCTTGGTCGCCCACATGGGTCGTGAATGCTCTTCGACCGAGCACGAACTCAAGTTGCCTACCGATATTGTCATTTTGCCGTAGAGGCTTCTCTGTCTCAGAGCTTCAATTTTGAGGCTCATGCCCAACTATCCCCATTGCTTCGATCTATCCAGTGCCATTTGTCTTGGTTCACCAGGCGTCTCGGGAGCGCTGTCCATGGCAACATCCACAGAGCTAAGCAGCAACCTGCGATCTTCTGAAAATATACTATAATATATACAAACTATCTACTATAATGTAATCCCTTCCCCCTGCACTCGCTGCAGCACCCTTTGTCAACTCGAAGCCGATCGGATCCCAAGCTGGAGGGGACCCATGTCATGTAACCGTAACCCCACCCGAAGATGCGCACAGCAGAGCAATAGGCCGATGCTGACAAGCCCGAATGCTGGGGGAAGGCCCTGTGCTCAAGCTTTATGTAAGGGCTTATACGGGGTACGGGAGGTTTTGACCGGCCATTGGCTCTCCAACGTCCAATTTCGAGAAGTAGTTTTTACAGTTCTGCCGGCTCCCGGTATTCTGTACCTGACTGGAGACTACATTCACTGATGCTTGATCTGCGGACTGCTGGCGTTCAGTAGCTTAGGTTGCATGACCGAGGATGCCTGCAGACGTCGACCCAGAAGCATCTACAGAGAGGGTGATGTCAAGTTTTCCGGAAGTAAATCGCTGTCAAACCAAATCAGATCACTGTCGGAGGAGCGTGCCTTGCGGATTCTGAGGTGCGTGGCAGGATGCCTCGGCTTTCTGTCCAAGCGCACAACTTCCCCGCACAATCGATCGCAATAGATGGAATAGACCTGTAAGCTTCTGAGCTATTGCGAGATCACGGGACGAAGCACGAATTCAGCCGATGATACGGTATCACGATGCAAACCGGCGTCGCATGAGCGGCATGCAACCACAATCAAGGACTTAGCAGCTCCCTCTGTCAGGTTGAATTTTCGGAAAGAGGCCCTTGGTGATGGCAGAGCTGTAGTGGCTCCTCACCTCGGTGCATCGCGATCGCATTCTCGAGCTTCAGAAAATTCGTGCTTCCGTCCCACGACAGGTGAGAGCCGTGCGACTGTGATGCTTTCAGTACCTCCTAGCTATCTCAGTCAACCTACTCAAACTCCGTGCCACGACACCCCGACAAGAGGCCGCAAGAGGCAATTATGAACCATCGCAATCTGGGAGCCGCACAACGTTCAAGAATGCCTCTCGGTAGGCCTGTGCAGTTTCGCCTCCCGCATCTCTGGGAACCTGCTCGACGTCGGCTTCCGCGCAATAGGAACTGAGGTTTTTCGGATTTGCAACAATTCGTAATGTGACTTGGCTTGCATCAAGGGAATTTCCTAATAATGTATTGGTACAGTCTTGAAGGGATTAATTGGGATAATCAGGGTGCTATGCAACTTTCGCTGCCCTTACCTGACTCCTCATCCGCAGTCCAAGCCGCAACCCCAGATTCAGAAAGCCTAGGCCCATGCGCAGCAAGCGCGACTTTCTCGGCCTCTGGTGCGACCTCTTGCGAAAGCTCTGGGACCATCTCCCGAAGAATCGCCTTCCATAAACACAACTGCTACCACGAACACAACCTTGCCGCTGCACAGCCATTGCTACTGCACCTCCTATATTCCTACTATACCACCACCACCACCACCACCACCACCACCACTGTCACTACCACCACCACGACCCTCAATCTCTTCTCCTGACATCGACTGCAACTTTGCCCACTCCTTCATGCATTGAGGGTCACTGGGCTACAGGGGCTGCGGCCTCTCTCACTGCTCCTCTCTCGACCGCAAGAGCATGCCAAGAAGGATCTGCAAAGTCCCTATGACGCCGTCCTACACATCGGAAAACAAGCAGGGAGCCCTCGCCTCATCTGCGCCGGAGAAGCGAAGGTCGGTTGTGTCCTCTTTGGCCTTCCAGGGCGCTGGATGATGCTAGGCTAGATGGTTGAAGATAGCTCACGTACGTAGGTAGGTGCACAAGTCTATAATGCGACATTGACATGTGCTGGAATTTGTAGTTGCATGCTGCTGCCAGTGGTACCAACAACACCACCCTGCAGTTCATGTATTGCGTATTGTCGCTGGTGTGATGGCTACTGGCCTTAGGTTTTGCTGGTCGTGCCGACCCTTTGAAGCACGCAGGACCCCCTCCTTCTGCCCATAGCAACTATATAAAGCTACTACTACTACTACTACTACTGCTACTACTACTACTACTACTACTACTACTACTACTACTACTACTGCTACTGCTACTGCTACTACTACTCCTACTACTACTACTACTACTACTACTACTACTACTACTACTACTACTACTACTGCTACTACTACTACTACTACTACTACTACTACTACTACTACTGCTACTCACAGCAACATCCCTGTTGCTTTGCCCGTCGTGTAGCTGCTACATTGCCGTTCTCAGGTTTTGGTTGCCAGGCCACAGCCGCGACAGCATGAGCCGTGTGCTCGGCCAGATGCTTCGATAGCACAGCCAGTTTCTTCTCGTCTGCACGCGAGCTCCTGAGGAATCGCTTGCCATCGGTCGCTTGGTTGCTGAAACAAATGGGTGCGCCGGAGAAGCTGCTGATTCCATTTGCCATAAGCTTTGACATTGATTAACTACCATGCGGCAAGTGCATAGACAATGGGCGAGCCATCAGAAAGGTCTCAACGAAATTGCCTCGTCCGTCTATACCCGAACGCACTTCATCCTCATCTTCGAGATGGTGACAGTGCATGTTGCGGTGTTGCGCACAGTAGTTGGTCGTCGAATTTTCATGGACTATGGGTGCAGGAACTGGTCATGTGCATCTCTGATTAGACGCACAAATAAAACACATGCCACCAAGACTGCATTGCTGCTCGGCTACCTGGGGAGGACGAAATGCGTGATTTCTTGCACTGGAAACTGCCTTGCAATGGTACGCCACAGACCCTCTGGGCCGTGAGCCATCCACGACGCTCCCTGTACAGCTCGCCACATGTGAAACAGAACATCGACGAGCCACTTTAGACCTCATAAACGCCTGAAGTCCGAAACAGCACACCCGGAACCTTTCAACACCACAACCCTGAGCCCTATAGTCATTACCCGGTCAATAATTATCGTTAATTATTAGAGTATTTGATGCCACCCTTGCGCTTTCCACTCCTCGCAAGTCCCAGTGCCCGTAGCAAGGATGCCGCAGTCGTCGCATTGATCAGAAGCCTGGGTGGGCTCCAATCTTGAGCAAGAACATGTTAGGACACTTAGGAGTGGCAGGGTTTAGGGACTGTAGGATTTGGGGCTAAGAAGGGCCTTTAGTGGTCAGCTTGTTTTGGTCGCTTCTGTTGACTTCAGGTTAGACTTGATCAGCCTCGGCTTCTCCTTGCAGATTACGGACAGTCGGCACCAAGCTTTGCAGCCGCTGCTCTGATGACTAACTTATTGAACGGGGATGTAGACTCTAGCTGTGACTGCCTCCTTCGGACAAAGACTTAATTACGCCGAGACTGAGAAGCTGCAATCCGAGCAAAGGCATCAATCCTCCAGAAAAACATGCTGTGCACGTCTGGCAGCGTCATCGCAGCGATACCGCCCACATGGAACATGATGCGGGCACCCATCTCCCTCCGCGGGAAGTCTTGCTTCGGGGCCGTCTTAGCTGGGGCATTTAGGAATCCAAGTTTGGCTGTCGGGGCTGGCACGGCTCCAGTTTCTGTTGGTTGTAACCAAAGGTAAGAAACCATTGCAGCTCCGTTGGAGATCATGGAAGATCGCAAAAGCGGGTGTCTACTTTTCTAAGTCAAGACTGTTTGATAGATTGAAAGCGACAGCGTGTGCGCCGAGCCGGACAATTCCGGCTGTACAAACACTAGTGAGGCCATGAACTATAAGCCGCAGTCTTCCGCACGGTCACCCTGTGGATCCAGACTGGCTTCGGGGCGGCCTCGAGACCAGTGGCTCTTCGTCGATGATGATCGCCAGGGTCAGACTCACTGCACCTGCCGAGATGCTAACAGGAAGAGGATCTGATGTGGTGCGCTTTACCGCTTCGAGTGTACCTGTGTGTGTGTGTGCACGAACCAGCATGCACGGAGGTATGTTCCACAATAAGAAGGAAAAGCATGGACACAATATGTATAAATCGGCTAGCACAATACAGTCGATGCCCGCACAGAGGCGACCATGAATGAAGAGAGTCTCAAGGGCGTGCAGATCCTGCACGATATGTAGTCCCCAAATCCTACTCTCGGAAGCCCGCATCCTGCCTCACAAGGTAGGCAACTGTCAGTCCGTGGGCACCAATCGCGAATCAAGAGCCAAAGCCCCTTAGTTCAGATCTCACCTCTGTGCCATTTTCCAAAAAGCTCCTCTAAACCAGATCCTTCAAGCCATCGACACCACGGCTGCACCTCGAAGTCCACTCCAAATCATGGCGATGGCCTCACGTGGATCCACAGGGGAGCCGACCTCGTGGGATTTGCAGTGCTTGGGCTCTGTAAGGTTACCAAAGATATGGTTATAATCATGGTTGGCAAAGCTTGGGGATGAAGCTTCTGGTTTGGCTTTAGCTGTTCAAGGCGGGTTGAGGGGTTCAGGTTTTCTCGAAACGCTCCAAGACGTCTCCCTGGACTCGAACCGTTTTGATCAATGTGGCCGGGACTAAAGTAGTGAAACCGAAAGCGTGGCGTAAAAACGTGACATGCTTTTCAATTTCCAGTCATGCCGTTTCAGTTTCAGACTTGAGCCCTATCTAGTAAAAGCCCGGAATGCCGAAATCCGAAATTATGATGGAGTGCCTGGGCTTGAAGAGACTAGCTCATGGTCTTAGGGCATGCATGAGCATACAACTGATTATGTAAACTACCATGTACCTGTCAATCATTCTTCTCTCTGTGATGTATGTATTGTATGCATGTATGTACATGCATGGACGTATGTATGTATGCACCTAGACATGTACATACCGACATGCTTACATACATACAACCATACATACATATCCATATCCATATCCATATCCATATCCACATCCACATCCACATCCACATCCAGATCCAGATCCAGATCCAGATCCAGATCCAGATCCAGATCCAGATCCAGATCCATATCCATATCCATCATTCATACATCGTTTCCTGTCATGTTCGTTGACGCTTAATACTGGCAGAAATTCTCGATCTCGTTCGGGTATCGTTAGAAAGGGCTCTATCCAAGTCGTACGAATACCCTGTCGAACGGGCCATGGCTTGATTTGGCCGACTCCAGGAATCTTGTGAAAATCGTTGTCCATCTCGTTTTGACCCGACTATATCACATCCAAAGGCAACAGCTCTCCCTCATGCCGTCGTAAAAGCTGCGGTTCATCTGACTGTGTCACGCCGCACAAACCTCACTTTCAGCTTCGACTTCAGATAGGACTGCATCGAGTCATAAATATGCTGGATCTCGTTTGAAGCAGTGCCCCTGTCTCGTTCCCCGGTTTTAGCGAGTTCGGTCAACAAACCTGCAAGGTGTGATCTCGTTTTAGACGACTGTCATATGTACATGAAGCCCGTCGCTCATATGCATATGCATGTGCATATGTATAACTCTCTATACATACATATATATATATATACACAGATACACACATTCATACACATGCGCCCGGACGCATCCGCACATTTTTCAATTTTTGAGACACAATTCGACTCACGTATTCCGGAATGCTGAGTGCGGCACCTTGTTGAGTGGAATCCACAGAATCGCCAGCCTCGGTATCATGGCTTTAATGCGGCACTAGAGAATTCAGGAGGGACTGCCAGAAAAGAGGTGATGAGGTGACAACATGTGACCACCGCATTTGGATCGTTTGCGCACCTCTGATGAAGCTGGCAGAGCCGAAGCAGACATGAAGCCCGAACCTTGTGAAATAATGGCGACTAGATGTTGCCATGCCTACGATATCTTGGGAGCCTGAGGGGATTCAACTGTGACCGGGAGCAGAACAAACTCAGATTGCATGACACGACCCACGAAACGCCAATCCTTTTCGCTCCTGTTCAGCTTCAGTGCACTGCTAGTCGAAGCGTTGTGATGCATCGTGTGTCAGCCTCCGGCTTTTGAGGCCTGATCCTCCCAGTATCTCTCTGTCTCATGATCATGGAAGGCCCGTGAAGAACCACGCCAGGTCGCATGAGGGATCGGATGACTAGGAGCGCAATGTAGACCAGCAGAAGGTAGCCTTGATCGCGCCGGGGCTTCAGACAGAACCGAGCCATGGACTTCCCAAACAACGAAATCAAGTTCAGAATGGCACCCCTGAAAAAAGTAGTAGTAGTAGTAGTAGTAGTAGTAGTAGTAGTAGTAGTAGTAGTAGTAGTAGTAGTAGTAGTAGTAGTAGTAGTAGTAGTAGTAGTAGTAGTAGTAGTAGTAGTAATATTAGTAGTAGTAATACTAGTACAGTAGAAGCAGTAGTAGAGTAGTAGTAGTAGTAGTAGTAGTAGTAGTAGTAGTAGTAGTAGTAGTAGTGGTAGTAGTAGTAGTAGTAGTAGCAGTAGTAGTAGTAGTAGTGGTAGTAGTAGTAGTATATAGTAGTAGTGCACCAAAAGACTCTGAAGCTGCTCAAGGAGCTTATAGGGCTTCGGGTTTCGGGGGGGGTTCTGTCATCAGAGGATGTGCGAACAGCCCCTCCTTGAAACCTCCAAGCTTTTAATCCTTACCTTTGGTTAGTAACTTAGTAGGGAATAGAAGAATGGTAGTAATGGTAGTTTTGTACCCCATTCCTCCATTACCTACTAACCCAAGGTAAGTATCCCTTTAAAGGAACCCTAAACCCCTATAGATCCCTTTCAAGGAGCCTTATAGATCCCTCTAAAGGAGCCCCATTCCCTAGTAACCCAAGGTAAGAATCAGACACCTCGCTGAGCTCCTAAGCTCCGAAGCCTACTTGGAGGATCATGGGACTTAGTAAGTAAGGTTTAGGAATCCTTAAAAGGGATCCTTAAAGGGTTCCTTAAAGGGATCTAGAAGGTTTAGGGTTTAGGGTCTACTTGGAGGATCATGGGACTCAGTAAGTAGGGCTATAAATACCCTAATTGGGGTTATAAGTATAGATACCTTAGTTATAACCCTAGTTACTAAGCCCCATGACCCTTTAAGTAGGATCTGACTCAGGTTTGCATTTCCAGTCGCCGAAATCGCTGAGGTGGATGATGCCCAAGGAATCCTGGGACTTGGAGCATGCGGCCCCCCCCAAGAGCCGAGGTATGGAGTATAGAGTATTAGGGTTTAGGGTTTAGGGTTTAGTATAGAGAGCTTAGAGTTCCCAGGAGGTGGTGCACAGCAAAACCGAGTTTGAGATTAATCGCCGCCAGTCGCACGGCAAAAGGCAAGCGACAACTAGAGACATCCGAATCTGGCATGAACTTTGGTCCCAAACCCAAACACAGCAGAACGCTTGGAAATACAGACTCGCACATTTCTCTCCAATGCATCGCAGACTCCAGCACCGTATCGGCGAAAAGGAGGCCAGCGAGGAAGAAAATAACCTTTCTACGTTTTAGGGTTTAGGGTTTACGAAGGCTCATCCTACAGACGGTGGTTTGCATGGACTGTGCTGATGCATGCTACCAG